CACGCATACTATATTTATCGATGTTTTACCTTGTTGGTCAAGATGAGTAACGGGAAGGGGAATCTTTAGACAAACATTTAAAGGCCCCCTGGCATACATTCAAAATACAAATACAGTGAATCTTTTTTAAATGCGAACATAGGAGTTTGCATGCAATGTAATTTCCCTATGTTCGATTTAAAAAAAAAACACATCAATCTATTGAGTAGTTCAAATGAGTAGTAGATACAATTGCCAGCTGTCACATTTTTTAAAATACCGCCGTCCAATTTAATTACGAAATCGGTTAGGTTATTGCTTAGAATGTCATGGAGGCCAGTTCGAACATTTGTTGTAATTGTTTTTGTTATTTATTTTCTTCATTTATGTATTGAATAAATCAAATTAGTAGAATACCAGGTGCACATGACCTACAAATAATTGAAGGTTGGTTCACAATGAATTGTGGTGACAGCGCGTGGCCTGTGAGGTCAAGTTATCGTAAGTTATCGTAAATTTATCCTAAAGTTGCTATGGCCTCACACGGCTTATTTAAAAAAAATCTTACCGAGTGCTCTTCATCATAAAGACTATCAGTTGCTGTTCATAGTCACACAAGTTGCACGATTTGGGAATGTGAACCGCGCACACCTCATAGATTGATGTGTTTTTTTTAAAATCGAACATAGGGAAATTACATTGCATGCAAACTCCTATGTTCGCATTTAAAAAAAATTCACTGTATGTATAATGCAAGAAATTCTCCGAAATATTGTTTTTCCCTTTGTAGGTACTTTCTACCAGCATTTTCGCAGTGGCGAATTTAGGATTTGGTCTAGGGAGGGGCGCATACAATTTTTAAAGTAATATATTAAAAAAAAACATTTATTATACGCGAGATTATACGGATAAAAATAGAACATTTTTGGGCAAATATTGAGCAAGTATAACTAATTCTTCATAAACTAAGAAAAGAACAAACCAGGAAATGTCTAAATGACAAAGTCGAGCTTTATTTTTGTTAGAATAGAATCCAATAGGTATTCTTACACGATTAGGCGATTGTGCGCAGGTACACCATCTTGTTGAAACCAACAGTTTCCAACTTTTGTTTTCTTTTGTGTGCCGGACATCGTTTTATTCGTAAAAAAAATGCTACTCAACTTAGAATCTACTTTTTTTACATGCCATATAAAAAGATAAAGTTGATAATGATTTCTCCGAAATGAAACCCACGTCTCTTGAAAAACTCAATAAGTGACAATGAGAAAATGTTTTTTTTGTATCTGCTCAAATAACATCTGAAAAAAATAAAAACGAAATCATTAAATTTCTTGTCTCCAATTTGACTATATATCCTGTATGGTTTCCGTAATTCCCATGATGTCCGCATGCGTAACTATACCACTGTCTAGGAGCCCCCCCTCCCCTTTGAATCCGCGCCTGCATTTCCGAGATATTCATAATTAAATTTTCACATTCCGAGTAGATTGGTCTCGTTTACACGATCTTTCCTCCCTTTGTGAGTACTCGCCTCCGACAATCAGTTCTCGAGATAGAAGGAATTATATCCGAACACGATAAGGGACCAAGAAGGAGGACTATGGTTGGTAGAAATTAATTTCTTTCGTCGAGACCTTTCATTAGACAGAGCACCATGACGCCTAACACCAGTTTGATAATTAATCGTGAAATATCGAACGCGATTATGTGCAGATACGGAGACGAAGATTTGAATCGAAATTTTCACAAAAAGTTATAGGTGATATCCCCAAAAACAAGCAAAATACCCATTAAAAATTGAAATTTTTTGCGTACTTAGATCATCCAGAAATGTCGCGAAACGCGTAATTCCGAAGTATCGAGGTCGTAGGTCGAACCACGACAGATATCACGGAAAGGGGAGGGGATGGGAAAAGCCACTGGCCGGGCGCAGCTACGGTTTAAATTTGGTAAGGATCGGCCGGTAAACAGGGGATATATCGTGAACATATATCGAGCGACTCGGTTAAGGTTAGGTCCAAAATCATGCTCAAGGTCAAAGTAAGGTAAATGTCGATCTAACCTAACTGTGCATTTCGACCGTTATTAACCACCGTCTGGACCTAACATAACCTAACTGAGCATTTCGACGTAACCTAACCTAACTGCGCATTTCGATCTAATTTAACTCAACCGCCGTCTATACCTAACCTAACAGCGCATCTCGATCTAACCTAACATCGGTCTCGACCTAGCCTAACCGCAGTCACAGTCAGATTTTCGGAAGGGAGATAGAGCCCCAAATACCAATAACAAGTACAAATTGTGCACAACCCTTGTGCAGGTAAAGCGCATTTTTTTACACACCCCTACGAAATTTCTACTATAAATAAGAATCATCCTACACAAAACTAAATTTGGAAAATGACGCTACATTTGCTTTTATTCCAAGTGGCTATGTATCAAATTTCATTTGAATGCCTCCATAAATAAGAAAGTTGGCACTGCGCATGCGCAAAACCAAATTTTGAAACTGGCGTTATATTTGCTTTTATTCCAAGTAGCTATGTATCAAATTTTATTTAAATGCCCAATGGTTATATTTCTTCCAAACGTCCTAATCGCCCTTTGTACTTTCCTTTGACAATTCAGTCTTAAGATATAAGGAAGATTATGGTTAGTATAAATTAATTCCTTTCGTTGAGGCCTTTCATTAGAGTACCATGAAGGATAAAACTAGTTCCACTCCCCCCCCCCCCTTCCCCCTCCACTCCGTACTTTGATAAGTGGACAGAGAGAAAGGCAGTAGTTTGTAGAAAACTGTTCCTTTCGTTGAGACCTTTCATTAGAATACCATGAAGGATAGAACATGTCGAGGAACATGTGTTTATGGACGGACGGACAAAGCGTAAACAATAGCACTTTTTTTTTAATTCTTAAAAAATGCGCTAAAAATAGGTGTGCCAAAAGTCGTACTGCGCATGCGCAATAGTCAACTTTCTTATTTGTGGAGCAATTTGATAGAAATTTTTATGGTGGGTTACTTTAATAAAAGGAAACAAATGAAAAAATCGTATTGCGCCCAATATAGATTACACCCCAAAACTGAAAACAACCGTAAAATACCGCATTTTGGCAGGTATTTGTGCAAAATATATGTACATACTCTAGCGGAGTCTTAAAATGTGAGGCATTTTGCCAACCTATGCGATGAGATTGACTAAAAAAGAGAGTATCATAAAAACAGTTCAACAACACCTGAAACGACCCTTACTAAATTTTCACAACGATTATGCAAAACAAAAGAAAAATTGACAAATGGTAAAACAATAGCAAACGGCGTATGTTAACAACACGGCGGTGAGTTCAAAATAACGAATAAGCTTAGAACGAGGCTTAGAAATAAGTGGCTTACTTTTTCTTGGTAAACCCGATGTCATATTTGGCGCAGAATATCGCAGTGAGGGCTTACGGGAATTACGCTTCTACAGGGTGGTGACTTGCGTAACGCATCATAGGGATTTCAATGTAAAATTCATAACATGCGATTATTGGCTCCCCAAATTATTTTAGAGCAAAAATGTATTAAGGTTTTTTGTAGGAAAAAATTTTTTTACGTCAATCAACCGTATTAGTTTTCAATTTTTTGCATAATAAAGACGGAAAATTGGAAAATAAAACCCCCATCTTTTTCAATAATCTGTGATGCCATGGAATTTTATAATACAAAAACTACGCCAATATCCGTCATGCCATGGAATGTCCGCTATAAAACAAATCAAATTCTATCAAAAAGTATTATATTTAGAACAGCGAATTCAACATAAAGAAAGACCAAATTACTAAAAACGGTTTCCTAATATAACAATTTACAATAAATGTTCGAATAAGTCACCATTAACTGCAATACAGTAACCAAGTCGATCATAAAATCCATTTCGAACTGCTGCTAATTGATAACTGGATATCTTTTTGTTTTAGAAAATTCCATGGCATCGCAGATTATTGAAAAAGATGGGGGTTTTATTTTCCAATTTTCCGTCTTTATTATGCAAAAAATTGAAAACTAATAGGGTTGATTGACGTAAAAAATTTTTTCCTACAAAAAACCTTAATATATTTTTACTCTAAAATAGTTTGGGGAGCCAATAATCGCATGTTATGAATTTTACATTGAAATCCCTATGATGCGTTACGCAAGTCACCACCCTGTATAATTGTGCGTTATGAAACTAACGGATTTTTAGCGACTAATGTAGCAAAACACTATAAGGAAAACGGTAGCAAACAGTTGTTAAATTTGACGTGTCGCAAAGAACCTTATTTGGTGAAATACGAGGTGAAATACATTGATCAGTCGAACATAAGGTTAGTTCAAAGAGAAAATCCTACTTTATAAGGCTTCTGTTTGATATTTATAAATGACCTATCTATAGAGAGGCGGACAAAGCACGGACAATAACGCTTTTTTTTAATTTCCGTCAAATTTATTAAAAAATTGAGCTGATTAAAACTAGGGTCATGGCACTGGTAGTTGACCAGTACCCAGTAGTTGACCAAATTATGTTTAATGCCCGAAAATAAGGAATCTGTAACACCCTGCTCACATGCAATGATTTCATATTTCTTTCTCACTCTTTCTTTAGTAGGTAGCACGATTATAGTTTGAAATTTGTGCAATAGATGGCAATTCTGAGTCGGTAAAAAAATTTACATTAACACGGCGTTCAACAAGTGACAGTGCTTATAAGCGTGGTGAGTATGCTCGTTTTTACTTATCTGTAATCATCTCTCAATGTATTTATTTTTTTAACAAACTAGTTGACATAGTATTAACCTCAGATATAAATTAAAGAATGTTGTATTTGCTGGTAGCTAAATTTTTCCTTTTTGTTGTAAAAAAATAGGTGGTCAACTACTAGAATTTAATATTTTGTGAAACACCAGTAGTTGTCCAAATTGGTCAACGATTGGTGTTTGAGAGGAATTCAAGATTTTGTGTCTTTGTTTGTTTTATACCTTTGAATAAGTGTAGAGAATGCGTTTTAGTTTATAAAAATAAGGTGTTTTCAAATGAATCTAGTAGTTGACCACGATTATATAGTGGTCAATTATTAGTGTTTTCGCATGGTCAAGGTAGGTCCACTATTGGTGTTTTCTGATGGTCAACGGATTTATTTTATTTTCAGCGAAATGAAGAAGAGTTTTTTCAAATACAGCGAAGAACAATTACAACAAGCTATCAATGACATTTCAAATAATGTCTGCTCCATTCGACAAGCTGAAAGATTGTACGGTGTACCTCATTCTACCCTAATAACCAAATTAAAAGGCAGATCTTCTTTAACGAGACAAATGGGCCCTCCTACCATCCTTTCTAAAGAAGAGGAAGATCTCTTAGTTAGGTGGCTTCTCGCTAATGCTAAAAAGGGGTTCCCTATTAACAAAACATCTCTTTGTGAAACTGTTTGCGAGATTATTAAAAACGATGATCGAGTTCACAAATTTCGTGATGGAGTGCCTGGCAAAAAGTGGTTTTCATCATTTTTAAAACGTCATCCGGAAATTACTCAACGACATGCCGAATCTATTAATGGAGCGCGAGCGTGTGTTACTGAGGCATCAATAAGAGCGTGGCATGCTTCAGTGAGAACATACCTAATTGAAGAAAACGCCGAGGATATCTTAAGTGATCCGACGAGAATTTTAAACTCCGATGAGTCAGGTTTTGCCACTAACCCAAAGACGGGACTTGTGTTGGGTCCCCGTGGTATGAAAAACTTTTATGAAGTGAAATCTGGATCTGAAAAAGAATGTATCACTTCTTTATTTACCATATCCGCCGATGGAGAAATATACCCTCCTATGATTGTTTACCCGTATGAAAGGATTCCGGCAGAAATTGTGAGGAACACAAATCCTGAGTGGGTCATTGGTATGTTGTCTCATTGCTCCATCTTAAAAAGGTTTTTACCTACATCTTATTTTTTATTTCAGGTCGTTCAAAAAAGGGCTGGATGACTAGTGAGACGTTTTTCAGTTACGTGGCCAACACCTTATTGCCCCAGTTACGAAACAAGGGTATAAAGTTACCTATATTATACATACTCGATGGGCACAAATCGCACTTAACTTATTGCTTAAGCAAATTTTGTGGTGAAAATGGCATTTTCCTGTATGCTCTTCTTCCAAATGCAACACACATTTTACAGCCTGCCGACGTGTCGTTGTTTTTTCCATTAAAATGTAAATGGAAAAATGTTGTTTCTGAGTGGAAAAAAAGCAACAACAACAAAATAGTGAATAAGGCCACTTTTCCAATTTTGTTGGAAAAATCAGTGCAGCAAATTAGTTTAGAGACCGTAAAAAATGGGTTTCGGAAGTGTGGCTTATATCCTTTTGATGTTGAGGCGGTGGATTTTTCAAAATGTATGCGCGATTCTTCGCGGATCTTGGGAGACTCCACCAAAAATGAAACCACCAAACCAACCACTTTTGATGTACCTCATTTTCTGTATTTCGACTCACTTATATCAAGTGAAAGGCGAGAACAGTTTAAACAAGCAGAAGCGGGAGAATGGATCTGTGATGAATCAGCGAAAGAGTTATATTACGTTTGGAGAAAATTGAAAAAGAGGTGCCAGGATCAAAAAACAGAGAACATACTATTAGATACAGAAAACCAAGAAACTCGCCAAAAAACTAGTTATACTGAATTGGAAAATAACATAGAGACTACAAATCAAGAAACAGAATACCAAGAAACTAGTAATACTGAATTGGGAAATATCATAGAGACCACAAATCAAGAAACAGACTACCAAGAAACTAGTAATACTGAATTGGAAGATATCATAGAGACCACAAATCAAGAAGCAGGGTACAATAAATATTGTGATGCGACTAATAACATTTTGATCGAACGCGAAGAAGATGCAGCCAAAGAACAAAAACGGGTTATAATTCACAGCGATATTACTTTAAAACTTCCAGTATTACAATCAGGAACAAAAAAAGTTAGCGCTGCCTTCCTGGATCATATTTTTTGGCCCGAAGAATCACCCGAAAAAAAAGAGATAAGTAAGAAGGAAAAGCTGCCTTATGCAACAACATCACGTAAATGGTTACAGTTCCATGAAGAAAAAGAAACAATCAAAAAGGAAAAAGAAAGAGCAAAGAAAGAAAAGGCTTCATTAAGAAAACGGAAACAAGAGGAAAAAGCCAAAGAAGCTGAAATCAAAAAATCAAAGGCATCTAAAATTAAGAAAAGGAGAAACAAAATCAATGATCTCAATAGCTCAGAAAGTGAGGAAGAGGAATGGCAAGAGAGTGGCTCGAGTATGGATGATGTATCATCAGAACACTACAGCAGTGACAATGAAAATGAAGACCCTAATGTGTCTAAAAAACTCAAGCAAGATATTAAAATTGGTGACTTTTATGTTGTTGCATTTCCAGGAAAGAAAAAGTATCATAACTATGTTTGCTCTGTGCAAAATATGTATGGCTGCGAATATGAAGTACAAGCGTTTACGCCTGTAGAAGAAAGTAACACGTTGTTTAACGTCATAGAAAATGACATCAGTATTGTAAATGTTGACCAGTTTGTTAAAAAACTGGATACACCGGATGTTATAATCAGTGGAAATCGAACCAAATTTAAGTTCGCGAAAGATGTCTTTTGAATATTAATTTGGAAACATATTTGAGGAATAAATGTTTTATCGTTTAACAGTGGTTTTACTTACTCTATTTTAGTGGTCAACAACTGGATACATTCCGGTCAGATATTAGTTCTTGCTGGTCAATAATTGGTGAGTTGGGTACTTTTTCACAAAAAAAATTTTTTCTCATGACAAATGAAAGGTTTGTTTCCAACCTCGGTGTTAAATAGAACCACAAAACCTCACTACTTTTTATACCATTTATAGTTTCAATTAAAATTCAGTCGTTTAGGAACTATATATATTATTTTAATGAAATGTGCTTAACTGGTCAATAATCGGTGCCATGACCCTAGTTAGTATTCGTCAATGTTTAAAAGTTTTCCATTTAATCAACCAAAGAGGAACATACTGCTGTTTATTACGCAAAAAAGGGATTATACCTAAGCTTTTGTTGGTAGGTATACGTATTAACGTATGGAATATTTTTTGGCGTGTGAAGATAAACTTTGTTTGTTATCATCCTGATAACGTTAAATCTTAACTAAGTAAGGTCTATTTACTACTACCGTTTTTCAATACTGCTACGCAATTGCACTAGTCCTCGACAAAGACCTTTTTGGAAGAAATTGACTAAAAGGCGGATTGCGCAGGAGACGAATTAGCCACTCGCGCTTCTAAATTGATAGCTTCAAATATAAATTATAAGTTTTCTTCTTAAATTGATATAAATTACGTATTGTTGCGTTACAGTGAATACAATTTTACTTTACTGGTGAAAGTAAGCTATTTAGGAAAGATCTTCAGGTTGGTATGTTAAAGTTTGGTTTTTATATACATTTTATTTATTATCCCTTCCAAAAGAATCGTGAACACAAAAAACTAAATGAGATGATACTTTGTGAAACAGAATCATCTATAGTAGATATTGCGTTTCGACAAGTAAACATTCTTCAAGAAGTAATAATATACTATTTGTTTAAGGAAAATAGAAAAATTTACACTGCAATAATATCAAGTGTCAAACATGATGTAAAGTAACCTACATAGCCGGAAGTTAATATCCATATCATATGTTTGTCTAAAAAAACCAAGTATGGCGCTTTCGACATCCTTTCAAGATTCCACTCGACCGCATTACAAAATACCGCAACCGTATTATCTTGAGCGAATTGGTTGTTAATTAAAAGAGTGACTTGAAATTACCCCTCATTGTACCACTAAAACTGGGAAATACAGGTGCCTCAACTGCACTGCTCTCTGTAGTGCATCCGGTGTTGATTTCATTAACTGCTCCGCAAAAGAAAACTTCACACCATATTTAAATTAAACCATTCATTTATGCAAAATTGCCAGAACTTGAAGAAGGGCGAGCGACTTTTTTGGTGGTAATTCATTTTTTGAACAATGCAAAATTAACAATTTTCTCAGAGTTCGATACCCTAAAACAATGTGCGTCAAATGGGGATTGCATATAGTCTCCGTTTAATTTTAGCTAAATAAGTGTCTCTTTTTTGCGTACAATTGAAACAATCCTTTGATGACAAACGTTACTTGAATTATGTTCTTAAACAATGAAAGGTTATTCACATACACACATACATTATTCTATTGTTCGCCATAACAAGGTTCAAATTTAAAGACTCATTATTATGGGCGTAATAAACGGATTTGCTAAATCCCATGTAAATAACTCATTAAGTGGTGATTATCACGTTTTCGTTTCTTGAAGGTTGTAAAAAGACAGCACGTATAAATATTAATTTGAGGCCTATTTGTTTGCAAGAATGAAAGCATCAATGGACGTGCTGTATTTCTTTAAATAAGATGTCTATAATATATTATCACTGTACACATTTATCTGTTCTAACAGATGCTTTTGGGACAGAGCTACATGATGTGGGGACGGCGACATCTGGGCGCCATCTCCTAGCGTGTTATTTTTCAGTTTTTTCCTATCTTCTACAGATTTGGTCCCATTGTTTTCAAATTGTCGTCGGAAAGATCGTGTAAATGCGCACAACTCCTGCGTGGCCGAATGTTAACCACCATTTGCAACCTCGGGGGGTAGTCGACTTTGGGCGGCCAAAAGTTTCTTAGAGCTCCAATCGCGGTCTCCTTTTCTCGTGTCTGCGCATGCGCATATTTCTGTACACCTTTATTAGAAGCAAGTGCACACACCGCACTTTTGTTTATTTACAATGGCCAAAAGTAATCAATATTGTAGTGTTTACGCGAGGGGTAAATCGCTAGGCAAAATCGTGTACACCAAACTTCATACTTCACGTATTTCACCAATACTTCATGGACTTCATCAGTACTTCACGGACTTCATCAATACTTCACGCACTTCATCAATACTTCACGCACTTCATCAATACTTCACGGACTTCACCAATACTTCATGGACTTCATCAATACTTCACCGAACTTCACGGACTTCACCGTCACTTCATGTATTCCACCAAAAACTTCACGGACTTCACTGATACTTTATGAACTTCACTGATATTTTGCACTGGACAAAATCTCATCCTTTTTTCTAGAGTTCTTGCAATTAAAACAAAGCACTCAAAGCAGTAAAAGATGTAGAATGTATTGATATAAATGATAATAGACGCATAACAAAAACGAAACGGTAATATACAGTAAAATAAAAACATACTTTGTTTATACATAGAGGTAAGTACATAGACGAAATTGAAAAGAATCAATTTTTTTTAAGAAATTTAAAAAAATGTGCTTTTGTTTGAGTTTTGCCCGTCCGTCGGACCCACTTTTGCGGTTTTGAATTACTTTTAGGGGAATGGTCCCAGAGCCCTGGAATATGTAGCCTATACCTTGAAGGTGTGCCACACGGTCATCAAATTTCGCTGTATTAAGGGAGGTGGCCTCCATCAATTATTTCCTGAGATGCTGTTTTTGAAAGTAAAAGTAAAACGTGCATTACTTTTACATACGGCAATCAATTGGCGCATGGCTTTAGTGGTGCAGTAAAAATTTTGAAAATGGGGAGGGGGGACGGGGGTAAACACCCGTTCCACCTTTCATGGTCTCATCGAAATAAATTGGTTTGCACAAACTATAACGTTACCGCGCGACTCTTTTTCAAGTTCAGTTCATGGCGCGGGGGGGGGGCGTATTTTATCTTTCATGATATTCTAATTAAAGGTCTCAACGAAAGGAATTAATTTCTACCAACCATAGTCCTCTTCTTCGATCCCTTACCGTGATTGGATATATCCCCTTATATCTCCACAACAGATTGTTGGAAGAGTACTCACAAAGGGCGATTGGGACATCTTAAAGAAATATATCCATTGAGCGATTATCTCGAAAACGGTTAATCGGAGGAAAGTACTTTCAAAGGCAAAATCAATCGGGGGTGTCGGAGGATTTTCAATGTCCTCCCATCAATCATCTACTAAGAAAGTAAATATCGATAACATGCTACTACCTTCTAACCCAACCATTTACTAAGCTATTTCGGTTTAAAAAATGGCCCTTTATCTTTATCTGCACAGGAGTTGTGATTTTATAAGCTTTTCTTATCAAATTTCTGTTATACCTATGCAGTTATACTAAATGGTTCACTTCCTATTAATGTAATAGGTCATGTTAAAATACGAGTTAAAATATATCTTTTATTAACAGATATCTGGCTCTTTATACCATATAAAGGTGTTCAATTCTTCTTTTAAAAATTTCATTTCAACAAACAAAATAAGCGGGAAAATATTGCTTAGGCCTTGTAAAAGGTATTGTAACATATTACCAGGCTGAACTCTTAATCCTTTTACAACAGGTTGCATTTTTAGGGGATTATTTTCAAGAATTATGCTAATGGTGTTGTTTGTGGGATAGTATTGACCTCGGGATTGACATTGTAGTCGTAAATAACTCAATGGCGTGGCCAGAAACTTGATTTGGAAGGGGCTGATGTACTAAGTTGTGGAGGGTGCTGAAATTTTAAGGAAAACAAAAGCCGCTATCCACGTGACAAATTTTCCGTCTGTCGATTTTATTTTAATATACCTAATAAAAGTGTTATCGAAGTGTTATTTAGCTACCTGAACCTGATGGTAATAAAGGAAAGGATTTATTAAATTTTTAAAAGGAAACAATTTACGATCTTTGTACCTACACATAAATACGACGCAAGGACTATCAGTACGTCTATGAGTCGCTGTCTCATCAGGGCGTCTGTCGCCTGTGTAACTGTCCTTTTGTTTTGTAGAAATGGGCATAGTTAGTCATTCATAAATAAATGCCATACTTTTGCGGATAAAAAAGTTACCTTTCAGCATAGATTTTTTAATCTATGCTTTCAGTTTTATTTCGCTGAAATTTATTTAATTTTACCTCGAATTTTACTTAGTGGTGACGACCGTGAATTGAACTACCGTACGATTTTTGTTAACGGATATGATTATAAACTTCGCCACAACCTCATGCATTTTTCCAATAGTTCGCTTAAACTTCACTAACTTCACCAATACTTCATGGACTTCATCAGTACTTCATGGACTTCATCAATACTTCACGGACTTCATCAGTACTTCACGAACTTCACCAATATTTCATGGACTTCACCAAAACTTCATATGAACTTCACGGACTTCATCACACTTGTACACCATACTTCACCAGTGGTTCACCCCTCGTGTTTACGGCTCTAAAAGATTACACATTTTCAATCAATGTCATAAAGAGCAAGGATAGTTTAAAACGTCACATTTTATCTCGTTACTTTCATGAATTTTAAATGTGATCAGTCCAATTATACAGTCAACAACAACGATAATTTAAGAAATCGTTGTAGAACGTTGAATATTTCCAAAGTCTTTAATTGTAAACACTGCAATTAGCCAATTACATAAGCAACTATAGGGATAAGTTAAACAATCATCGTGTAACGCATAACATTTCCAAAGTCTTTAATTGTGAACAGTGCAATTACACAACAAACAATAGGAGATATATATGCCATTCCTTGACACACTCTGCTTTGAATGTTTTTCTCTATCACTGCTATCAGTGTAACTACGCTACAATTAAGCGCTCGCTTAAAGCGTGACCTATTGGCACAAACGTTCTCAAAAATTTGATTTGTGATCAGTGTAATTTCACTACTTACGATAAGCCTCGCGATAAGCATAACTTAAAGCGGCTTATTCACATTCAAGGATGTTACGTGCACTCTGTGCGATTAGGTATGCCACAAATAGTAGGAAAAATTTATATCATCGACACATCGAAAAATACCAACAGTTTAATTTGTGGTCGGTGTAATTAATTAATTAATTACCTATGAGGCCGTTGTAAAGCATAATCG